TGCATATCAGTAGAGAGCTTGGCTTGAAGTTTTACAGGTCAAATCCACATATGATGAGAAAAATGAATATATCCCATGACCTTGCTTAGTATAACATCCTAGACAAATATGATGAATGTTTCCCAGCTTGTTTAAGACAACATCGTAGACAAATAAGATAGGAGGAATGTAACCTCACCCCTGAACGCTGAGAGAGGCCTCATACCCCCAAAATCCATCCCAAAAAAAACAACCCTGAAAGCTCAATACAGTAAATATTTCCAGGATAATGAAGAATTACATTGAAAAAAAATACACAAAGTATTCAGTGATAGGCAAAAACTCCATTTCCGTGTATTTATAAAATGACCAAGCCGAGACATGATAAATATAAAAAATCCAATGATCACAAGTTAATTATCAATTAAAATAGTCAAATGCAATATAGAAAGGGAAAGAAAAAGCAAATTCTTTATTTTAATAGCACAGAACTGACGAAATGAAGTATTGCACATAAGATAATGATTGAATAATGCTGGTCAACAAGAAAGTGTCTACATTAAAGGTCTAAACCTTTTATTTACAGCCAATTACTTACAATGGGGTTTCTTTAATTTCCTATTACCAAGATAAATTTAGACAGTGTCAATCATCAACCAGTCGCACCACATTAATTACGTTTAAGCGAAAAGAAAAAAAGCTATAAATTACAAGTTTTCATATGTTCTGCATACCATTTACTGCAGTCGGCACTGTATAGTCTACCACAATCAGCTCAGGATATTCATCATAGACAGAGGCAAGGATATCTTCTCTTTCTAAAGGACCGTGGACCTGAATTTCTTTATCTCCCACTTGGACAAGCTGCCCACTCTCCTCCTGTGCACCGAATGATACAGGAACAATATGAAGTCCAGCATTAGCTGCTGCTTCGATAACTGCCTTTCCCATTTTGCCCATGCAACTATTGACCTAAAATCAAAGAATCACATAGAACAAAGTTTCTAAGCAAAAGCCAGCCTAACAGAAGCACATGATGTTCTTACAACCAGAATCACTTAAAAGTGAAATGCCATATCTAACAACAGCAATAATGACTATATAGTTTGTCAACTTCCGTCAAATTGAAGCATATCTTTGATTTCTTTCAGTAGCTCAAAAATTGTAATCTGTAGCTGACCACAAATTGTTATAGGTTAATAGGTATTTGTTTTCTGGCGTCCAACCATATTTTTCTAGATATTAACACATAATTGATCTGAATAAGTTAAAGCCTTTGATATCTAGGAATCAGAGCATGCCATAATTCATAGTAGACCATTTTCACTCCGCTAGTTAGTCACAGCCTCACAGGAGCATGTATAAAACACATAAGTGGACAGGTATCAGAATTGGTATAACTTTAACAACTTCCTCTAAGATGCAAGGATTGTTAGATAAGCATGATGGGAAAATGTATGATTGTATCCTAGGATCAACCAACGTCTTTTGTCAAACCCTTAGATCATTTCCAACAAAACCAATAAAGCAAAGAATCAGATCAATGCTTGCCAATTGATTTAAAATTACCAAACAAGATAGAGATCAATCTAGCTGTGGAATCAGAGAACTTAGCTTACACCTAAGATATCAATCAGAAAGCTTCATCGAACAAACATATATATTGACCTCCAGCAAGGGTGAGACTTAAATTTCAAAAAGGCAATTCTCTATAGCCAAGTAATGACAAGTACTGCCTAGCCCTCGCTACCCATGTTAAGGATTCCAAGGTAATAAAACAGTAGGACAGACAAATAAATAAATCGCAAGACACAGTTGAAGATTGTCAGCCATAAATTCAGCCTCGTGTCTCGTACCTTCCCCTCGCCCACCCCCCACCCGCCCCCCCCCCCCCCCCCCCCAAAAAAAAAAAAAAAAATTCTCCTTATGCAACTTGAAAAGCACTGTGTATATAGCCAGTTTCAACCTCAGCAATTACCCTCATTCATCATACTCTCATATTTTACCAGAGCACAACGATTCCCCCCCACCCCACCCCTCTCCTTATGCATCTTGAAAAGCATTGATAATTCTGTGTATACAGCCAGTTTCAATCAGCATTTACTCTCATTCATCATACTCTCATAATTTATTAGAGAGTGCACAACTATAAGCAACAAGCACGGGGAAGCAACGGACACATACTAGTGACAAACAAGATAACATTTTAGTTTTGACTTGATACAAATTTTCATTCAGCCAATAAATTTAACAGAAGGGTAACACTAGGAAATCAAACAACAGTGATCAGGTGAATAAGCCATTGTATGAGTCATTCGTATAGAGAAGGAAGAAATGGATCAATATACCATTTTGCTAATGAGATAAATGTGTTACACATATAATTCAAGTCCTGATAAAACTGTACAAAACATTTGCAAGGAATCAGCCCAAGCCTGATATCCGCTTCACTTATGCTAGAAGGCCCAAGAATTAACCAGAAGAATGCTGAGTTGGAAGGTTGTTAGAATCAGTTTTGGGGAAGAGGGTAAAATAGTAATCTATAGAAAAGTTTGTTACTAGTTTGTTATTTTGATTCCTTGCCTTAGCTGTGCTTAAGTTTGTTAGCTTGCTTAATTTTGGGGTATTTATAGGTGTTTGGGTTAAGGGGAATGCATCAAGAAATTAATTGAGAAGTTTGTTTTGGGAGAACCTTCCTCTCGAAAGAAGGCTTGTATTGTTGAATACTCTGTTTGATAATACACTATCCCCTTGGCTGCCATTGTTTCTATCTCTCCTAGATTGCTTACTTGCTGTTTTCATACTAATCTCTAGCAACATTACATAGTTTGTACTAATCAATAAAACATAGACACTCCCTCCATCCCAAACTAATAGACCAGGTTTACATTTCAAGGCACGAAACTCATCAATTTTGACCATTGATTCCTCAAACATTCAAACAATATAACAATTTACGACACGAACACACTCCAGCAAGATTCAATTCAACATGACAGCAAGTTATAGAATCAAGAAATGAAGAACAGATAATCAAGAGAATAGTAAAGAGTTTATACCATAACAGGCAATCCAACATCTTTGGACTTGATAGAAAGATTTTGGACATTAGGAGCAGGGCTACTTGACATTACAGCTGAAACAAACGATCTACGCCCATTCTCAATCCCAGATTTTCTGATTATATTCCCAGAAAATCCACCAAATTTACATTGTGAAGAAATACTCACATTCACAGGAACTTTTACTACAAATGCCATTTATATAATAATAATCTGCACCAAAAAAACAAAAACCCTTTAAAAATGCACTCTTTTATAAGATTATATACAACAGAAATGACATTAAATGGTTGAAAAAAACAAACCCAAATCTAATTTGTTCTTACAAATGCAAAAAGAAAAGAAGAAAAAGCCCTAAATTCAACTTTGGGACAGCGCAAGGGGAAAGAGAGAGTAAAGAAGCAAAGTAAGACAAGCAGTTACCTAAGCGCAAGTGAGTGAATATAGTATTATTACTTATTTACTTATATGAGTACTCGTATTTCTGGGGAAAGTTTGAATAAGACTGGAACTCAACGTAGTACTCTCAATCCACTTTGAGGGCTTGTTTGGTTGCACACGGAAAATAGAGTATTGAGAAATTATGAAAATTTGAAAGCAGATGAGTTGTTTGGTTGATAATATAAAAATATATACGTGGGAATTGCAAATTCATGAGAATTGTATGTGAGAATTGCAAATTCATGGGAATTGTAATTTTCCACAAAATATGGGAAGTTAATTACCCAACCCCCCTAGGTAAGTTAAAATTTCAATGATTTGCAACTTCCTTCGTCCCAACCAAACAAGTTTAGACAATTCGGAGGAATTGGATGTAGGTAATTAATTACCATGAAATATAAATTCCCGTAAAAAGTAAATTCTCATATCAAACAAACAACACCTTAGTTGTACTGGAGTTAGTGGAGTATTTATTTTGCATTTCTGCCTGTAGTTGTAGATAGCAAGCATGGGAGGTGGCAGGATCGAATCTTGTCCTTGCCAGATAGTTGCTATGCTCACTCCGATAAACCTAAGTCTTATTTTTCTAGAAAATTTGTCAATTACTATCTCGTATTAATGCCTCTTTGATAATTATTACCGCGAAATTAAAACAAACTTGCAAATTACTACCACAATTTTTTTTTAAGGAATTACTATTACTACTAGACTCCAGTTAAGGCCAATTATGAAGTCACTTTTCCCCCTTTAACCCACGTTTAACCATTTATTAAGCAATTAAACGACCAGAAAAAGAAAGAGAAAAAAAAAATCATGGTTACGGTTTTGACAGTGGGATATCAAGAACCGCATCCCTCTCATTCTCGGCAAACGTAGCATTTACCACCTTCTTATCCCAGTAGTCATATGCCGCATCAATTAAATCCACAACCCTTAAATCCGTATTGCTATCAGCATTAGGTGTAGGAACAAAGTGTGTACCCTCCCCATTGAGCCAAGCATCATCCCAAACCCAAATAGAGCGTCCATTTCCCACCCTCCATTTGAGACCATCTAAGAGTAGTGATTTCACACCCCATAAACATCTCTAACTATAGCTCGTGTTATAATTTATAGAAAAATTAACATTTGTTTACGGAATATTTGACAATGATATTGTAATTTTTTAAGGAAAATTTAGTTTTATTAATTCCAACTTTGGGCCATTTACTATTGATAATCCCAACTTTGGGGAGCATTTTCATTTAACAGGTCAAACAACCGGTGACCTGATTAAAAGGTTACTTTTTTATTTATTTTTTTCTTAAATAACACGTGTCTTAGTTTAATTAGTCACAACATAAATAAAAAAAATAAAAAATAAAATATCAAAAACACCACCAACCCCCACTCCTCCCCTTCCCCTTCCCCACCGGAAAACAGCCCCACCCCCTCTCCTTACCCTCACCCAAAACACCCCAAACCCCTCCCGCCCTTCCCCCGCTCCTGGAAAATGCCAATAGCCCTACTTGTACTTCGTAATTATTGGAAAATTAAACTAAAAGAAAACTTTAAAATGTATAATTTCACATTCACATACAACAAATTTTGGCTTCTATTCTTTTCCTTGATCGATTGTTGGCCTATCGAATACCAATCCACAGCCCACGTTAATCTGGATCACTTTGGCCCAATAAGATATGAGCCATTATCAACCCGCACCGACCCTAACCCAACCGCACCCAAATACCCAATAAACAGGTATAGTTATGTTAAATCTGCACTATCATGAATAATGTCCAGTTGTACTGTGTTGGAATGGGCTCGATAGAGATGCGACTTTCCAGCAAATAACCAGTCCATTCACCTTGGCCCGACATTCTCAGCGTTTGCTTTTGCAATACTTTTCTTTCACCAATCGTCGCTCTCTACAAAACCAAACAAACCCAAAAACACATCAGTACTAAACTACAAGATAAAATAACAAATAACAATACAAAATTTTAATTCAATACACGATTTTTTTTTCAAGTATAAGCCAATAACAAAAAAAAGTAATACATCATACCAATTATAAATGTACAAAAAAAAAAAAAAAAAAAAAAGGGATAGTTGTTTGTTCGTCTGTCTTATCCCAAAAGTTGGGACCCATGTTGTTTAACAGTTTCTTCGGCAAAATATCAATAACCCAGCAAAAAGTAGTGCCCCACAACCATAAGGTTAGTTGCACGTGTCTTTCAGCTTTCTCGCTCAAAGAGATTAATTGAAAATTTCTTCATTACTGTATTAATAAGGTAGTTCACAATTCAGAATTCACATTAATTAATTAATCACAATATTAATATTCTACTTTTGATGTTACCCATGTACCCAACCCTTTGAGGTATTCCGTATTAGCATACAGGCCAAAAATGTGTATCTAACCGAACCCAAGTCATATTGGCTAATAACACACTTCTCAGAACTCAGAACCGAACCACCTCAGATTGAATGGCTGAAACCCTTAGAGAGCAATAATGGGTTGTCATAATTTTGATCAATGGAACAAGAACAATGGGTTAACGAGTACATGTTGGTCTGCCATCAAGGGCAATAACAGTCCGTCCGTATTGGCACATAACCTCACAAATGGTGACTACTGTCACAAAAAACCACCACATCCCCCATCACAGTACAGCAAATGCAATCAGGCATGTATAGGTAACCACCGCTGATGGTGCAAAATTATGGAATGGCGTAACCGGTAAACTAAAGTTGTATAAAAAAACAGATCATCGGAAATTGAAACAGTAACATAAAAACCTAACTTACACCCCTCTAATCTAAAAACGAACCTAACACCGCAGAAGTTTAACAGAGTTCATAACATGTATCAGATCTAAAGTTGAGAAAAGTTCAAAGAGCCATTCTACTAGTATGCACTTTTTTTCTTTTCGAGTCTGCACCATAATGACACTAAAGAGAAATTGACACCATGATCATCATAATACAAGGATGACAGAGAGGATAAAGAGAGAGGGATTGACTTACATGCCGATGGGTCAAGCCTCCATCGGCATTTTTCCAGAGAGTAACAGAAGCCAAACCCCACGGTCCTCATCACTACCGTTTGGGTGGTCTTTCATCATCATCTCCATCATCATCACCAGAATCATCCTCTTCACCTGACCTTTTGCGCTTTGGTGGGGCCTCAACTTTCCCATCCTCATGATCATCCTCCTCCTCATCATCAGTATCTTCTTCGGTATCTTCATCATCACCATTCTCTTCAGGCTCAAAGTCAGAGGCATCCACCTCATCTTCGGCAGGAGCAACAGGGCGAACAAGATACCCGGTATCAGGCTCCTATAAATTCACGTTCAAGGGTCAGTAAAACTTGAAAGATTCACAGAAAGATGACCGAAACAACATTAAACATTACCCTCCGCAAATTCAGTGTTTACGTTGTAAAAATTGATAAGCACTCGTGAGCTCAGACTACCCAAACAAGCCACACCTTAGTTGATTTGAGGACTGTATACACTAGTGAGTCGTCTTTCGCTCTTAAAAGGTATGGAAAAGCCACCCAGCCAAAAACTCAGATTAAAATAATAGAATCATATCATCAATACTTAAAAACTTAATTTATAGTCAAAAACGAGATTACAGGTATTGATGAATATGGTGATTCGATTAATTTCTACAGGCTACACCAAATATTGAATTGATATTACATCCAAAAGTAATCATTGCTTACTTGTTTAGTTACTCCGTACATATAATTAGATCAATAGCATCCAACACAATATTTAGTGAGGCTAAAAATGCAAAAACTCAGAAGTCATGGTAAAAAATACAGAATTACAGCTACAATTTGACTTTTACCACCTTGATTAAGATTTGTTACCTAAGACTATCAACAATCAACACGCCCACACAACTACATGAGCAATAAACGACCTAACCCAGAGACAGCACCATAGACCAAATTTTAAAAAACTCTCACCAATAATGACCCATCTTTAAAAGCCAATGAATCCAAAACTCAGCCCCAAAACTTGACATGAAATGAATTTCATAAATCGGTCGCAATCAAGCAAAACATCCATGTAAACCTCTAATGGTTATTGTAAAAATAGATCAAAAATCTACACACACGAAACATTTACAACATTACCTTCATTAAAATTCCTTCTATCTAATCTCAAATTCCACAAACAAATGAAAAAGAACAAAACTTGAAACAAAAGTAAACTTTAAACCAAAATACTTTTTTGCAGATATAACAAAAAAAAAAACATTATTCAGAAAATCAGAAAAAAAAAAAAAAAACTCATAAACCCTAAGTCTCTACAAATAGACAGTAAAATACTCATTTTGACCACTACCAACCTCGAAATTGACCAAAACGCCCTCCAAACAGTACATAACCCTAATATATGTGCATAGATCTACGCTACAAAGCCGCAGATCTAATAAATTAAGCTCCAGTAAACCAGAATAAACAGCAGAACACATAGAAAAACTACATTAACAGCAGAAATTTCTGGAAAAAAGCATCAAAAACGAAGAAAATCACATATTAAGCATAATCATCACATAAAAACGCAGCACGTAAACAGATCTGACAATAAAATCCACACCAAATGCTGAAAACAACATAGAAATAATATAATTACCAGAATTTTGAAAATAATCCAGAAAATTAACAAAAAAAATTATACATAACACGAATTTCGTTACCTCGTCATCGTCATCACCGTCATCATCGTCGTCGTCGTCGTCATCATCGTCATCAGCATCATCATCATCATCATCATCATCTTCATCATCTACCGACTGAACTGCGGGAGTATCAGAAGACGGTATACCTTCCTGCACTGCATCCTCATCACCTTCATCATCGTCATCGTCATCATCTTCTTCAGAACCGTCACCACCGTCTTCTTCTTCCTCGCCGTCAACCTCTTCTTCTTCAACTTCTTCAACTTCCTCCTTTTTCTGGCCGTTAATGGCGGCTGCGACCTCTTTCTTCGCCGCCTCAATTTCTCTCTCCTCCTCCATCATCATCTTCATGGATACAATTGCAGAGATTTTTTGGGGAATTTTCCTTTTTTTTCTTGAAAAATATTTTTGGGGGTAAAAGGGGAAAGCAGGGGAGTGAAGAGAGAGAGAGAGAAAGGGAGAAACAGGGGAGGTTCGAACCAGTAGCAACTCTTGGGTAAGTGTGATCTCAGCCGTTGAAAAAAGATGAAAGTGGGATTGATGACGTGTAAGAAGATCGGACGGTTGTGGGTTGGTGATTAAGGATCTTTTGTGTGTTTCTGAAACTCACGTGTGATACGCGTGCGTGGAAGTTAGGGTTGAGGGTTTTTTGATAATTTTGAGAGGGGTTTGATCTTCTACTACGACTCTACGAGGTTTAGCTATCCCGAATATTCCTTCGAAGCTATGTCCGTACTGAAGGAAGCCACCATTTGTATTGGGCTTCTGTACTAGTGAGATAGTGGGCCTTCAGTTGGTTTGGAACCTTTGGGCCTATTGTATGGCTGTTGTTCTGGTATCTTAGTTAGACTCAATCTCATGATCCAATTTGATTTGTTCAAAAATATTGGATATCTAAAAATTTCGGGTCATAAAATATTCAATTCGATCCGATAAGTTAGTACGAGTAATAAGTTATTGAATTAAGGTGAATTGAATATAACTTAAGTAAACTAATTAGATTATAAGTACACAACAGAGGTTAACCATAAAGTGGAGTAATTGATGAGGGATGCATTAGCGAGATCACTTGCAATAGCAATAGAGATAACCATTTGTCCATCACCTAAATCCATTTTCTCTAACCGATCCATTGATTACTATGTAGAGTTATTATTAGAAATTTAGAATACCGTAGTACTTTTGGAAAGGGGAATGGGCAGACTAGACTAGTTATATCTTACATATTATATCTTACATATGCAAAGTTATCTAAGGTGGACTTTGTTGTTGTTTACAGTAAAAGAGGTTTTTTTTTTTTCATGACAAAGTGGAAAAAGGAGACTAGCTCCCAACCAACTTTGTTGTTATTTAAAAGTAGTGACCGCTATTTTAGTCTCAACTCTCAAACTTCTACAATTACAAACTGCGTAAAAGGGGTAATTTGGGGTGGGGGTAGATCAGTAGATTAAAGGGAATTTAATGTTATAGAAGTAAATTGAAATGAATGTCAATCCCTAACTTAATGTCACAAACATTATGGAGATGAGATTTTTTTTCCCTCATGCTTAGTGAACCTTCAGTGTACACCTACACTACACACTTTAAGCATATATGGTGGTCGGCAACATCTTTCAGTTCTGATTCTTTTATGTATGGATTTGGAAATGACAAGGAGTGCCCTTTAATTGACTTGCTGAAATGACAAAACAAATCATCTTTTTATGTCTATGTATAGTTAATTGGTCTCACGTATCATGTACATAACATTAATGGATCATATACATATGATCCTTGTACCAATTCAAATAATCTTGATGTAAGGCAACATACAAACTCAATATGAATTATAAATTATTGTAGCTCAACAATCAACATACATGACACGCCATCATTTACAAGTGTGATAAAGCTGCACATAAAATAAATCACAATTACAACATTAATTTGTATCAGAATCGACTTTTAAACAAGGCATGTTCAATTGTACACACGGAGTACGAGTGTATGACCTTTATCTAATCACACTCCAACCCTTTAACAAGTAACACGAGCTTAAAAGACTAAAATAACCGATTAACCATCACATTGACAAAGTTCACACTACAATACAATACGCAACTCCATTCTCTACACCTATCAAATTGTCTGTATTTTTGCACCAAAATAAAAAACCTCAAATTGTCTGTATTCCCCAAAATTCCAAAGTTGATAAAAAATGGGTCCACAAAATAACAATCCAACATTTAACTCCTCCCTTCTCTCTCCTCACTAGACCCTTCTTCTTCCTCCACCCCCAACTCTACCAAATTATATCTCCTATCTCCATCAAATAAATAAATAATTATTCCACCCTCTTTTTTTTTTTTCTTTTTTATTTCACAAATTTTCACCTCAAAATAAATTAGAATTATTAAAGGTGGATAGATCAATGGGTTGGATATGGAGAGCAGCGACATCGTCGATATACCGGTGGTCGGAGATAGGTATTCAGAGAGCATCATCGTCAATCTCCGCCATATTCCGGTGGTCGGAGTTTGATTTCACGAATTATACGGCGGAGAGATTGCAGTGGTTGAATATTTGGGTGTTTGATAACGTGCTATGGACTATGGTAACTATGGTTGAGTCTCTTGCTTTGTTTTCTCTCCTCTGTTTCTTTTATACTTTTTGTGGTTGTACTCTTTAATTGAAATAATCAATCAAATTAGTGTAATGTTTTTGAATTTCTGTTGTTGTTTATTTCATTGTATTTGTATATATTTATTGAGTATATTATGCCAAGTATGTGTTCGATCAAAAATCAAAATTACTGAGTTGTTACTGTAATTAGCTGTATTCTCCTTAAAAAAAAAGTTGTATTTATACTAGTACAATACAAAGTAATATTTGTAATTTGCTGGTTTCTTCAAAAAAAAAAAAAAATTGTAATTTGCTGGTTTTTTGAGCTTTAATTACTTGACATTTTGATTGTGTAAGAGGGGAGGGAGAGAGAAGCATTATTTTGTTTTCGAATTATTTATGGGAATAGTTGTATATTTTTTTAATGGTATGTCATGGTGTATTACAAAAATCTACGTATCTTCAAAAAATGAAGAAAACTCATCTAAATGTCATAATTTTGTCTAGAAAAGTTTATGAATTTTTTGTGCTTCGTAATGTGATTGAATAGGTCTCCATCCCGCTTATACCGAGTGTGCTCAAATTATATACTCCTTACTATGCACCCGAGCATATCTAGATTTTGAAATGTGCAAAATTATCATATGATGATATGAACAAGAAAATACTGCTTGATACAAGTGATACAACTATACAAGTGTAAAGATTTACGAGTATCATTAAATGCTGTGGCATAATTAAATAAGATTTATTGATTGTCATCCATATTATTTTGAAAATCAAATAATTTGGTCAAAATTAGTTGGAGTCAATTCTCCCATGAGTTATAACATTAGCAATTTAGCATTAATTATTTTAAAATCTTCTCGACGTTTTAGTTTTACTGTGACTTTTTGTTGAGAAAGGTTTGCTGAACCTTGTCAATCGTCATAAGCTCACATGATAGAATATACGATAGATATTCTGTTATGGAAGGATATATTTTGTGAATATTATGTAAATATTTTTTGAGATTTTCTAACATGATTAGGACTCATCTTTGTAATCCTCCAGGAGTTTTCACAAAATCTAACATGATATCACAACTCAGGTTTTAGATCTAACTTCAGCTTCCGCAAATTCATTTTTTTTTCCTAAGCCCTAGCCGCCACCCATCTTCCTTCCCTAGCACCACCTAGCCGGCCACCATGACCAAGGGTGAAGATTCTTCCTCGTCCAGCTTTCACCCTGCCTTTGGAGTTAATAATATCAGAAATTCAATCCCTTTGACTCTGATAGTGAGAAAGTTCAATACTCAAATTGGGTTGAATAATAAATTGAATGTCATGTTCATGCGTTCAACGTTATTGATCATATTAACCCTATTACAAAGCCAGCAGATTTGTCAGATGCTATGTGGAAGAAACTTGATTCGGTTGTAAAAAATTGAATCTATGACACAATTTCTACTGATTTACTTGAAAATGTATTGTGAAAAGGGGATACGGCGCAACAACTATGGGACAAACTCAAGGAGATATTTCAAGATAACAAAACTACTAGGGCGACTTATCTTGAAAATCAATTTAATCAATTGCATCTATCTAAATTTCCTGACATTGCATCATATTGCCGGGAATTGAAGAATTTGAAGGATCAACTTGCTAATGTTGATCAACCCGTGTCGGAACTAAAACTTGTAATTCGCTTGGTTCCGGGTCTTGTGAATACGGATTTTGACACTGCCGCTGCAATGATACAACAATCGGAGCCCTTGCTTTCGTTTGAAACTACGCGATCTTGTCTATTACTTGAGGAGTCGAGGCGTGCCAATGACCTTATTGTTGCCGCATCATCGTTGTAGCCCAATTCAATAGCTCGGCATCCACCAACACCGAAACCCCAACACAACAGCAGGCCCCTCCGACGGGCAAGGGTGGTGGCGCTGGTTGTCAAGGCCATGGGTGTGGCCGGGGTCCGCAACAGCAGCAGCAGCCCTAGCAACAGCAGCAAGGCGCACCAGGGGCACGTCACAGTAGCAATGGGCTGGCCCAGCTGCATATGGCCAGGCCACACAACAAGCCCCGCAATGGGGGTATGCTCCCTACCCGCACCCATAACAACAGCAGTGGGCTGCATCTCCTAGGCCTAGCTCTCCCTCGCAGCACGCCCAACCATAACAAGCATACTACTCGGGGCCTCCGCAACAACAGCAACAAGGCTTGAAGTATGGTCTAACTATGACTCCGACTGAGCTAGGCAATGCGTTTGCGACCATGAGTTTTCAGAATTATGACCCATCTTGGTACATAGATTCCGGCACCACTTCTTACATGACTAATCAAGCCGGTAATCTCTTACCCCTTTTTAATTTAAGCACTCATAATTATATTCAAGTTGGTAACGGTCAATGCATTCCAATTACGGGTTACGATCATTCCACTATTGCTAACAAATCCCTTACTTTACGTGATGTTTATTTAGCTCCACAAATTATCAAAAATTTAATTTCTGTTAGAAAATTTACATCTGATAATTCTGTGTCTATAGAGTTTGATCCTAGTGGTTTCTCTGCGACCGCAGCACCATCAACTTGTCTAGCCAGTTCTCTCACAGCCTTGTCTCCTTCTACATGGCACAACCGCCTAAGTCATCATGGGGCACCCATTTTTAATTTTCTTAGGATTAAACATTTGATTGATTGTAATAAGGAGCATGACTCCAGTTTTTGTGTAGGTTGTTAGTTGGGAAAACATATTCGCTTGCCTTTTCATAATTCAAATAGTACTACTTTTTTTGCCCTTGACATTATTCATGCCGATTTGTGGACTTTTCCAATTCATAGTGAAAAAGGTCTTGAATACTATTTGGTCCTATTAGATGATTGCACTCATTATGTGTGGACTATTCCTCTTGTCTATAAGTCTCAAGTTTTTCAAACCTTTCTTAATTTTCGACAATATGTTCTAATTCAATTTGAACGTCCTATAAAGTCTTTTCAAAGTGATCATGGTCGCGAGTTTGATAATGATCCGTTCAAATTATTTTGTGTCAAAAATGGATTGTTTTTCCGCTTCTCTTTTCCTCACACATCATCTCAAAATGG